AATATCCTCTTATAACTGGCTGACCAGAACTAGACACGATATTCCAGAAGAAGCCTCATCAATGTCCCGTACAACCTCAACATGACTTCCCAACTCCTCTACTCAAAGGTCTGAGCAATGAAGGCAAATGTGCTAACGTGACACAAACTTCAAAAAATTATGTATCTGACCCCTAGGTCTCTCTACTCTACAACACTACCCAAGGCCCTACCAGTAATTGTATAAGTCCTACCCTGTTTGTTATACCAAAATTATCCAGATTTATCCAGATTGAACTCCATCTGCCATTTGTCAGCTCATTGACCCATTTGATCAAGATCCCTTTGTAATTTTAGAAAATCTTTTTCGGTGTTTACAATGCCACCAATTTTGGTGTTGTCTGCAAACTTACTAACCATGCCTTCTATATTCGCATCCCAAACAAAAGAGGACCCAGGACTGATCCTTGTGGAACACTGTTGGTGACAGTCCTCCAGTCTGAAAAACAACCCTCCACCGCCACACTCTGTCTCCTGCCGTTAAGTCAATTATGTATCAATTTGGCTAATTATGTATCCAATTGGCAAGCTCACCCTGAATCACATGTGATCTAACTTTACGAATTAGTCTACCATGTGGAACCATAATGCAATATAGTAAAATAGAAGGAGTGGAGTCCTATGACCAGCAGTGTTGTGCAGGAATCGATGCACAGTCGTGTTGTTTGTCATTTATGTAAACAATTTGAATGAGAATTTAGGAGGTGTGATTAGTTAGTTTGTGAATTACACCAAAGTTGGTAGTATAGTGGACCGTGAAGAAAGTTACCTAAGATTATGAAGAGATCTTGATCAGTTGGGTCAGGAGGCTGATGAGTGGCAGATGGAGTTTGATTTGGTTAAATGTATTGCATTTTGTGAAACGAACAAGGGCAGGACTTATACTGTTAATGGTGGATCCCTGGATAATGTTGTTAAACAGAGAGACCTAAGGGTTCAGGTACATAGTTCTTTGCAATTAGTGTCACACGTTGACAGGGTGGTTAAGAAGGTGTTTAGTAGGCTTGCCTTCATTGCTCAGATCATTGAGTATAGAAGTTGGGACGTCATGTTCAAGTTGTTCAGGACATTGGTGAGATCACGTTTGGAGTACTGTGTATAGTTGAAGGACATTATTAAATTGGAGAGGGTTTAGAAAACATTTACCAGGATGTTGCTGGGACTGGAGTGTTTGAGTTATCAGGAAAGGCTGAATAGTTTGAGATTTTTTTCCGTGGAGCGTTGGAGGTTGAGGGGTGACCTTATAGAGGTTTATAGCATTATGAGGGGCATGAATAAGGCGAATAGCAAGAATCTGTTCCCTAGAGTGGGTGAAGTTCAAAACTAGGGGTCATATTTTGAAGGCGAGAGGAGAAAGATTTAAAAGGGACCTGAGGGGCACGTTTTTCTCACACAGGGTGATTTGTGTGTTGAATGAGTTGTCAGAGGAAGAGGTAGATGCAGGCACAGTTACAATATTTAAAAGACATTTGGATAGGTACATGATTAGGAAGGATATGGGCCAAACGCGGAAAGTGGGGCGAGTTGAGTTGGAACACTTGATCGGCGTGGACGAGTTGGACCGAAGAGTCTACTTCAGTTCTGTATGATGCTGTGACTCTATATAGCTCCTATACTCTTATGTTCTGACCAATGAAGGCAAGTGTGCCAAATGCTTTCTTCTTCACTCTGTCTACCTGCGACTCCACTTTCAAGGAGCTATGCACCTGCTACCCTTGGTCTCTGAACTTTGGCAACACGCTCCAGGACCCTACCATTGACTGTATAAGTCCTGCCTTGGTTTGCCTTACCAAAATGTAGCACCTGACATTTATCTAAATTGTACTCTATCGGCCACTCGTCAGCCCATTGTCCGATCTTATCAAGATTCCATTGTACTCTGAGATAATCTTCACTGCCCACTACACCATGTATTTTGGTGTCATCTGCAAATTTACCTTATATACTCGTATAAAAGCTGAATTTTTTAGACTATTTCTTAAGGTTAAATTTATGGGGCTGACTATGATATGGATACTACTTTTGAGGGGCTGAAATTCATGCTACAGTTCAAAATACCATATTATTAGCAGAAGCCCAACTGATCTCTAAATTAATAAAGAAGAAAACACAACAAATTACAGCAGTAACTGGTACTTCTGTGATCCAGCACTGTGAAAGATGAACACGGCTGTGAGAGGCTCTCATAGCATCTTAGCCCATGTGTGTTCGCTTATTGTCAGCAGATAAGAACATACAGATCGATTATTCTCCCTGTAAGTTACTTGATTATTCACCTGATATTACATACCTTCACCTGATTATTCTTTCACAAAGTAATCCTGAATCTTTTCCATTTGCTTCCCTAACCAAAAGCTCTCTGTTGCCCTCTGTGAAACAGTAAGTCAGTGGATCCGAGCTGTCACAATTACTAGGTTCATTCTTTTGAAACTCTGACAAAGGAATGCCAATGAAAATAAATCTGCTGTTAAAATGCGACACTATCCTGGAGTCAAAAACAAAATCCCACCAAACCTGGGAGACTGGATGACAGCACTTTATCTCCACCTGCAGGTCACTAACATATTACTGTTTGAAAATTAAAACACTGAACCCAATTTTCATCCCCATCATTGGAGTAGAGGTACACTTTGGGAAGATGAGAACAAACACCATCCAGCACTTGCCTTAAAATCCAAATTATCTTTGAAGAACTGGGGTTGGCTTTTACACAAGATAAATGGAAAATTCAAGATTTTTTTGGCCAAAAAATAAGGGTTTGACTTTTAATCGAGATTGACTTTTATTCGAGTATATACGGTAGTAACCATATCTCCTGTATTCAAATCCAATTCATTTATATAAATGACAAAAAGCAGTGGACCCAGCACCAATCGTTGTGGCACTCCACTGGTCTCAGGCCTCCAGTCTGGAAAAACAACTGTCTGCCACCACCCTCTTTCTCCTACATTCAAGCCAGTTTTGTATCTGATTGGCTAGCTCCCCTTGAATCGCATGTGATCTAACCTTACTAAGCAGTTTACCATGTGGAACCTTTTTGAATGCTTTGCTGAAGTCCATTTAGACAATGTTTACCTCTCTGCCTTCATCAATTTTCTTGGTCACTTCTTCAAAAAAGGCAATCAAAATTGTGGCAAGCAAAATTGTCATGTGAAATCTAACCTCTTAATGCTCTCTGATATTTTTTGTTTTCTGTTTTCAGGTTCTGAAACAAAAACCCCAGCATTTACTTTTGATTTTTAATAATATTACTGTCTGTATTGATTGCCCATTAACAAATTAAAATGCCATGGTAGAATTATAATTTTATCCGTTCATTTAATTGCAGGTAAAGCGTAAAACAAATTACTTCTTTACTACTGTTCACTAACCAGCTGAAATGTAACTGGTTTAGATCACTGGTCAGAACTGAAATTTTGCTATCTAAGCCATCTCCATTCCACAGTCAAGCTAAGCTGAAATGCTAATTCAGTAAACACCTGACTAGTAGCTGCTTCCAGCTGAGTGAATTCCTGTAAATTCTGGGAGCGAGGTTGGTGGCTCACGAACATGTAGACATAAATAATGAATACATCCAAATGTCAAGTCATTCTCAATAGTTCTTTCTTTCTGTCGTTTGGTAAGCCAGAGCATATTTCATTTGGTTGAACTATACTTGGACAAGCAATCCATCCCTCTTGTGATATATTTTGGTGCTGCCAATTTTGTTGGAATGCTGAAAATTTGCTTGTGGTTCATTTTGGTAGAAGGAGAAACCCTTATTATTGTAAACTCTGCACAAAGCAGAAGAGAATTGACAAGATAATTTCAAATTTTATTGAATGACATCCAGAACTCACAACTACTGTTGGATGTTTTCCACTTTGTTTTGGCACCTATAAGCTTCAGTGTCCTGATATCATGATAATAACTGTATTGTGCATCCCTATAACAAGTCATTGCCAATATAGAGAAAATTAGAAGTTTGGGCAAGCTACACATTTGTGGCAATGAGTTGCATATTGCCTTTCAACCTTGAATTCTGGGTTCCAGTGCGCTATGCCCTTCATGACTCCATGCTGCTGGATGTTTATGTTTGATGTTGTATTTCTCTTTCATTTATTGATAATCTGTTTCTTGGCAGTTAGACCCCCTGAAGGGGGTCTTCACAAGATTTTATCTCCTTTTGCATTTTTTATGCTGTCATATTATGTGTGCAGTTAACCACCAACTTGGGGCTTAATACTGAAAACACATTGTTCTGTTCCAAACCACCTTTACTGTTTTGACTTGACTTGGAACTTCTTAAAAAAAATTGTTCTTGTAGGGAACGTGTGCTGCTGACAATGCTGGCATTTGTTCCCAATCCCCGTTTGCCTTTGAACTGATTGCCTGTCGATGCTATTTCAGGAGGCTGTTAAGAGTCACACATATTGCTGAGAATCTGGGGTTACACATAAGCCAGACCAGACAATGATGTTGGATTTCCTTCCCTAAAGTTCATCAGTGAACCAGATGGGTTTTTATGACAATCAGCGTAGTTATATGGTTGCCGTACAACCAGTTTCTTAATTCTAGATTTTTATTGAATTAAAACTCTGTTATCTGTTATGGTAGGACTCAAACACATATCCGAGAACTTTAGCCTTGTGCTCTGGATCACTGGTCCAGTGAAATGATCACTATGGCACTACCTTCCCTGATCTAGCTATAATTGTACAAGAAATGGGCACTTGTAACATGCCCATTGATGTCTCCTACCTTTCACAAAACAAGGTAAGGTGTTGATTTTCTAATAATAGCAAAATATTTATACTGGGTTTTAGTGACCCCCATCCTGACTAGAATCAAACCAGCACGGCATAAGTTAAATGTCTTTTTAACCTATTTAGATTCCTACTGTGCTTCCATTTCCTTGATACCTGACTGCATGAAACAGTTATACTATCTGCATGATTACTTCACAATGTAATTATTTTCCAGGATGTTGATGAGTGGAATATCAGTCGTTTGAATACAATTTTGGATGTGGTAGCAGAAGAAAGCGGCATTGCTATTGAAGGTGTAAATACACCATATTTGTACTTTGGCATGTGGAAAACAACATTTGCTTGGCATACTGAAGATATGGATCTGTACAGCATTAACTATCTGCATTTTGGAGAGCCAAAATCTTGGTAGGTTTAACAGCATTTGTTTTATTTCTTGTTTATATGTATTGAAGTCCTGGCAAAGATCATGTTTCTGTTTTGCTTCCCTCCTGTTAAAGATGTACTGAACAGGCTATACATTTAATCCAATGAAATGTCATTGTATTGAGGAGAAATAATATTCTCTTAATTCCAAGATGCCCTGCTTACTTCGTTATAAGAACGTTAGCAATCGGAGCAAGAGAAGATCTGGACTGCTGTTTGAGCCTGCTCCATTCAGTGTGACCAAGGCTAATTTTGGGCTTCATTTCTACTTTCCTGCCTGCTCCCAATATCCCTTGACTCCCTAAGAGATGAAAAATTGTCTCAGCCTTCAATATGTTTAGCTTTGACATATCCACAACCCTCTAGGTTAGAAAATTCCAAAGATTCGCAACGTGTCCAGTGAAGAAATTTCTCCTTATTTCATTCCTAAATGACCAGCTTATCCTGAAACTGTGCCCCCAGCAGAAACACCATCTCAGTTCTACCGTGTCAAGCCTTTACATAATCTTGAAAATGACGTGATCACCTCTCAATCTTCAAAACTCCAGAGTATACACATTCCATTCACTCAGCCTTACATCATGGGACAGCTCTTTCATTCCGTGGACAAGCTTAGTGAATCTTCACAATACTAACTCCAATGCAACTTTCTTAAATATAGTGTACAGTGATCTTGCCAAAACTCTGTACAATTTACATTCCTAATTGCTTGCTATACTCAGTTGCTGACTTTTTCATGTTCTTTGTGCAAGTACATGCAGATCCCTCTGAACACCAACACTTATAAGCTTTTCTTTAAAAATAAATCTACTTTTCTATTCTTATGACCAAAGTGAATAACCTGAAACTTCTCCACATTGTTCCCCATCTATCCTCTTGTGGTCCACTCACTTAACCGTTCTGTTTGCAGGTTCATTTGTGTCCTGTAACAGCTTGGATTCACATGTAGCATTCACTTGTATCATCAACAAACTTATATACATTATTTTCTCTGCCTTAGTCTTCGTCATTTGTATAGATTGTACATAGCTTAGGCCTTAGCATTGATTCTTGCGGCATTCCACTCATTACAGCCTATTGTTATGGACTGAACCAGACCAGACCAAACCCCCTCAAAATATATTAAGAAGATACCTAGACCCTAACTTTTCCTTATTTTAAAGGCAAGTGCCAGGCGTTGCTTTCCAGATACAATTCAGTTGGTCAAACTACCAGTCTTGAAGCAAAACACACTTTATTCATACACTATAGTTAAAATACAATAGAAGAAGGAATAAATTGGAATAACAACTCTGTTCGAAAACTTAACACAATAATAGATTATTTAACTACTAAACAGTAACCGTTCCGATATAGTAATATCCCATAAACACATACTTGGCAAAGGCAAATTTAGTACAGTAGATTGCCTCACATGCAATTCTCCAGTCCAAGAGAAAAAAAAATCAAGAGAAAACTGAGAAAGTAGCAGGGAGAATAATTTTGTAGCTGCTAAACCCAACTTCAAGACCCCAGCAACTGTTACTAAAATTCCTGGTTCTATGACCCCCACCCATTCAGGCTGCTTCTATTATTCCAACTTTAAAATAAAAGCCCAAGGCGCCTCAAGCCATTTATTTTGTGGGCTCTGAGTAGAGCGATCGGTACCTCTGTCTCAACTTTTCTTCATAAAAAAAGCCAGGACAAAATACACTTCTGAAAGCCATTGTATTGTCATTCTGTCAACTTGAAAATGCCCCATTTATCCCAACTCTCTGCTTCCTTGTCCGTTAACCTGACCTTTCTCAATGCTAATGTATCATCTCTACATGTGCCCTTATTTTGTGTCTTAACCTATTTGAGTGGCACCTTATCAACCGACTTTTAGAAATCCCAGGTATACAGCATCTGCTGGATTCTCTTTATCCTATCAGTTACAGTTTCAAAATGTCTAATAAATGTATTAACTATAATTGCCCTTTCATTAAAACAGGTTTGACTTATTAGAATCACTTTTCTCAGTATATTGTTAAGACTGCCTTATTAATAGATTCCAACACTCTCCAGATGACTGATGTCAAGTCAACTGGCCTGTATTTCTCTGTTTTTATTCTTCCTTTCTTGAATATAAATGTTACATTTAATAACTTGCAATCTGCTCAAACTGTTCCAGAGTTTGAGGTATTTTAGAAAGTCATAGTGAATATGTGCGCTATCTCAACAGCTATATTTTCTTGACTTTTAGAACTCTAGAATGTAGACCGCAACTTGAGATAAGTTTGTTTATACTGACATGTGAGTGCAGTTTGTCTTCTGATTTTTCATTTGATCATTTTGCTGCTGGTAGGGTACAAGTGAGTGTAACGGACAGAGGACCTAATAACACGTTTGCACCATTTCAGGAGTGGTATTGTGCTCTTACTGAAAGTTGGATAATTATTTTTCGGGGTGCTTATGTGTATGTGTGTGTGTGAGTGAGCATGCACATACAAAATCAGTACTAGTCTGCACTTGAAATACTTGCCTTAAAATAGTCTCAGGAGATAATTGTTCATAACTCTGGCATTCTTTGCTTTGAAACAACAAATGAAGAACAGTATTCTGTACCCAATTTGAAGCAAATCACAGAATTTTCCTTGTAATAGCATATTAGAATGTATAAATAATAACTTCTGTGACACTGGTTTTTGATTTTTGTTGAGATGGACAAATGTCTGGAACTTAATTCAAGAAATCTGTTCTACTTTGTTTGAGATTGTATCTAAGAGATGGTGTAAAACGCAAAAAATGAACTTTTATATTTTTAAGGGTGCTTCAGATGAAACATATGGGCTGTGAAATTATTGAACAAACTATTCCATAAACCTGACCATCTATATTTATAATTTAATTTGATACAACTGAAGGTTGCAGAATTCTATAATGGTGTGTTTGTTTTCATTCACAATGCCAGTTTGTTTTCGAAAGAGAAAGTGAATGAGTTACTTTGTGACCTATTTAAAGGGTTGTGAAGATGTGTTCCAGAATAACGCTGATCATGTTTGACAGTTGCCACGGATGTGGAGAAGTGAGGAAAGTAGCAGGTGTAGTGTGCAAGTAGTAACCGGAAGAATTTCAGTAAAGATTGAAAGAAGAAAAAAGTACTTGAGATTCCTTTTGGAACATCCTGCAGTTTGCAAAATTACTATGTGCTTAACAGCCAATGAACTACTTTTTGAAGTGTGGTTACAGTTGCACTGCAGGAAATGTAACAATTGAATTTGCACACAGCAAGCCTTCACAACTGCAATCAAACAAATGATCAGTTCTCGAGTCATTGAGTCATGCAACATGGAAGCAGACTCTTCAGTCCAACTAGTCCACACTGACCATGTTCCCAAAATGAACTAGTCCCACTTGCCTGTGTTTGGCCCATATCCCTCAAATCTTTCCTGTTCGTGTACTTGTCCAAATCTCTCTCAAATGTTGTAATTGTACCTGCATCCACTACTTCCTCAGGCAGTTCATTCCATACACACATCAGTCTCTGTGTAAAAACATTGTCTTCAAGTCCTTTTTAAAACTTTCTCCTCACACTTTAAAGATATGCTGCCTAGTTTTGAATTCTCCCTATGGAAAAGACCTTTGCTGTACACCTTTTCTATGCCCCTCATGATTTTATAAACCTCTGTAAGGTCTCCCCTCAACCTCCTACGCTCCAGTATAAAAAGTCCCAACCTATCCAGCCTATTTTTATAACTCAAACCTTTCATTCCTGGCAACATCCTGGTAAATCTTTTCTGAATCCCCTCCAATTTAGTAATATCCTTCCTAAAGCAAGGCAACCAGAACTGCATTCAGTACTCCAGAAGAGGCCTCTCTAACATTCTATACAATCTCAAATGTTGTCCCAACTCCTATACTCAGTGATCTGAGCAATGAAGGTAAGTGTGCTAAACTATTCCTAACTACCCTGTCTACCTGTGACGCAACTTCCAAAGAAGTATGTACCTGAATCCCTAGGTCTCTGTTCTACAATACTACCCAGGACGCAGCCGTTAATTGTATAAGTCTTGCCCTTGCTTGTTTTACTAAAATGCAATACCTCACATTTATCCAAATTAAATTCTATCTGCCACTCCTCAGCCCATTGACCCAAGATCTCTTTGTAATCTTAAATAACTTTCTTCACTATACTATACCATCAATTTTGGTGTCATCCACAAATTAAGCAATCATGTCTCCTAAATTCACATCCAAATTGTTTATATAAATGACAGATAAAAGTGGACCCAGTATTGATCTTTGTGGAACACCACCAGTCACAGGCCTCCACTGCTACCCTCTGTCTCCTACCATCAAACCAATTTTGTATCCAAGAGGCAAGCTCTCCCTGAATCCCATGTGATCTTATTAATTAGTCTGCCATGCAGAACCTTGTCAAAGGCTTTACTAAAGTCTGTGTAAGCCACACTGACCTCATCAACCTTTTGGTTACTTCCTCAAAAAACTCAAACAAGTTTGTGAGATACAATTCCCCTCACACAAAACCACACTGACTATCCCTAATCAGTCCTTGCCCCTCCAAATGCCAGTAAAACCTATCTTTCAGAATCACCTCCGACAGTTTTAGTTATTGGCTGAGGTATTAGTGTTTTCCAGAATCCTGGGAAAAATTGTCTTGCAGTTAGCTGTGTCGTAGAATCCTTTGCATTCCTTAAAGACTAACCTTTCTGGCTTTTTCCCCCTAAATCTCCAGTAATTTTGTTTTTGTTTTATTGAGATCTGTCTCTTGATTAAGCTTTCTTAAAATATAAAACATAGGTCCAAGCTGTCCTAGAGCAGCGTTTTTCTGTTCTGTAGATTAAGGTGCAAAAATGGTGAGATAACAAGGTGTAGAGCTGGATGAACACAGCAGGCCAAGCAGCATCGGTTACCTGTTGGATGTGGGAAATGAGGGATAATTTCAATGTTACTGATGATTGTGTGTGTGTTTGGTTGTGAATCTTATCGGATCGTATGGT